GGTGCTGGGGCTGGGGAGGAGGAGACTGAGGCCGTTGGGGCCTGGGGGGTAAAGGAAGGTATAGCCTAGAACAGGCTGGGCTGGCTGCCCACTGGAGGGTCCCTCACAGCATAGGGCCAGGCTGCCTGAGACCCCGAGCACTTCTCGGGTAGGACTAGGGGCTGTCAGGGATATGTGGGACTCCCTCCCCCAGGGATAGATGCCCAGCCTCCACCTCAGGGGCCAGCAAGGCCTGGTTCCCTCAGAGGACCAGGAGTCAGCAACCGACCCAGGCCACCCAGTGGGTCAAGGATGGGTATGCTGGGGCCTATCGCTGCCTCCGTGGGAGCCCCCAGCAGGGGCCCCCAGCCCCACCTGCCCACTCACCTGCCCCTGCTCACTACAGATTGGGGACCGCAACGGGGAGCTCACAGCCCGCATGAACGTTGCGCAGCTGCAGCTGGCGCTGGGCAGGTTGACCAGCCCGGCGGCTGCAGAGAAGCCCGACCTGGCCGGCTATGAGGCCCAAGGTGAGTACCCAGGGCTGGGGCTGGGGGAGTCCCATTCCTCATGGGCTCAAACCTCAGCCAGGGATGCATCTGGGGCCTCATCTGGGCAGGAGTGTGGCAGGAGGAACCCCTATGGGAGGGGGTGTCAGTTTCCCTGGGGCCCTGAGGACACCTCCGGCTCCCCTGAGTGCAGGTGGCAAGGAGGTGGGTCCTGCCCCTAAGCAAAGGAGTTTCTAATAGCTGCTCAGGAGGCAGCGAGCACCCTGCCCCTGGGGCATCTCAGCTTCTCATCACCTACTCTGCCTGCTCTCGAGCTCACATCACGGTGGAGCCGGGGGACAAGCACACAGAAAACTGCCAGGTGGCGTGAGGATGGGAGGGACAGGGTGTCCAAGGTGTGGGGCCAGTTCTGCATCGTCCCTGGGTCACCAAGGGCTGGTGGTCACCTCGAGCCCCTTCCACCCACATCCCTGGTGGCACCACTGGACCGATGGCAGGAAGGACAGGAGATGGCCTCTAGCTGCCCCCCAGCCGCTTCAGGGCCTCCCCCTACCCTCCCCAGCAGCCCAGTGGGGGAGGGCTTCGGGGAGGGCTTCCATCCTCAAGGGGAGGGCTTCCATCCTCAAACCAGAAGCTGGGGGAGGAGGGAGGGGCCCAGGCAGCCAGAGAGCTGGGCTGGGTGGAGCCCTGCGGGCCTGTGTGCAGTGCTGATCAGGCAAGGCTCAGGACAGGCCCGGCGCTATACTGACCTCGTTCATGGACTGCTGATCGCCCCGTGCAGGTCAGCAATTCTGTACATGCAGGACAGAACATCTAGAACGTTCCCACAGGGCAAACAGACCAATAATCACAGGACAAGGGAGGGGGCGCCACTCTGAGCTGGCTTCCTGAGGTGGCTGGCAGGCGGGTGAGCGGTAGGCCTGGGCAGGGAGCCAGCTGCCCCCTCGTGGCGTGGCCCCCAACCCGTGGTTCTTGAGTTTGTTAGGAGTCCACCCTGGCCTCCCCATGGCTGTGTTCCCGGGCCACCCACCCTCCCCAGCTTCCGAGACCCTCAGAAGGGATACATGCCCCCCCAGGGCCTGCTGAGAACCGGTCCTGGGTGTGGTGGCTGGTCTTGGCTTTCTGTGCTGTGATGCTTTTGTGTTTCTGATGATGCCCTGTCCTGGGAAATGGGGGGCACGTGTCACCCACCCAGAGGCTGAGGACAGAGGGGAAGGAGCAAGGGCTTCTGGGACCCTCAGCCAGCCCGTGGGGCAGGGGTGTGTGGCTGATGCGAGTGGGGGGGGGGCAGTGTGGCACGCACACCCCCTGGCCCTGCACTGCCCCGGGATGTACGGCCACTGTCTACCCATCGGCTGGGGCTTTCCGAGGGTGGGTAGCCCTGCAGAGAGCTCCTGGCACGGCCCCGCCCCCGTGTCCCCATCCCAGCGCGGCCACCGCTGGGAACCCCAGCGCGGGTGGGGACAGGGCCGGCCCGAGTCTGGAAAAGCTCCCAGGGAGGCGGCCCGCCCCAGTCCTCCTGGCGCTTTCCTTCTCTGAGCCGAGGGAAAGGGGGGCGCGTCGCGGGTGAGCGGCGGGGACAAGGCAGCGTCTGTCCTCACGCAGGACCAGGGGCCCCCGGAAGCCTCCCCCGCAGCCGCCAGGGGCCGGGCCACCGTCGAAGGGCCGCTGTCCTGGCAGGGCGGCGTGGAGGCGGCCTGGGGGTGCTCCTGCCCCGGGAGCAGCTGCTGGAGGCAGCAGGCCTGTGCCCTGCGAGCCCTGGCGGCCCCGGGAGACCCCGCTCGGGTGAGCCTGGCGGCCGGCGGCCGGGCCCTGCTGGTGGCCCGGTGCGTTCTGCAGCGCCGAGCGCCGGGGTGGGCTGGCCCGCCGGAAA